GGCTCTATCACCGTCGACGAACCGCCGCGCGTCGCGAGTGGCAAGGTTTCGTGCAACACTGGCCAACCCCAACCGTTGCGCGCACACGTCGTCGTTGCCTCACCTGGCGACTGCGCATCGAACCCGTCGTCGCTCGTTGGCTAGCAGGAGAGACCCTCTTGCTCGTTCCCGTGCTTCATTTCCCGCACGGTGAACTCACGCGCACGTACGCGCAACAAGGACGCGCAGCCCGGTGTTCGCTCGGCCGAATGCACGCGACAAGGACCGAACGAGGCACGTTAAAAAAACGCGGAAATTACCAGCTAACGACGATAACGCGACGCACGGTACCTTTCGCGATTCGAGAAACTTCTTCCATCGAATATACCTGGAAATATACGTGGACGGCGTTTACGAGGATTCCAGGTGCAGGTAGTTTTAGGAACGGACGAACGAGCGTCGTTGCACGTTGCCAGCAGCGAAAACGCAACGTAGCCAGGTTAAAAGAGGCAGAGAAGGGAAAGGCAGGTCAAAGCAGCGACGCACTGGCCAGGTGCGCAGACATTCCACTCGCTTTGCGGTACGCTCGCCCCGCTTCCCCCGACCGCGATTATTTTCCACCTGGAGCGCCACGTTTTACTTTTTCATGGCGGACCATGGCGAGCGATAGGTAAACGCGTTCGATACATCGAACCGATCCGAAGCGATAGCGTATTCGTGCGTATGAATGAATCCTCTCTCTACTCCGGATCCGTTCGACCAGGAACGCATACGGATGCCCGATTGGAGGAGGTGCGACAAGGGGAAGGTGGAAGGTGGTGATCGCGAGGAAAGAAAAATGGCGGCGAACCGAGGCGCGCTTCTTCCGAGTTATAAAGAGGCTCTATAACTGATCGCAGGTACGTATTATAGGTAATGTCGACGGTGCCCTCGATTCGAGGTGCTCCCTCCATAACGCGATCACGGCCTTGATAACGTGCGTGTACGCGACAACGCGTCTTAGTCTTACTTCGCTCGTCCCTACCTCTCTTTCCCGTCTTTCGCTCCGGGCTTCTTGGATTTTTAAACGCGACCCGCGAATGTGTTACGCTTTGAAAAGTCCTCGAATACTCGATACTCTGTGCGATTCTTTTTTTCTTTTTCTCTCTCTCTTTTTTCTTTTTCTAGAACAATCCGATCGATTTGCTCGCGTCCGTACGTACACGCGTCCGATTACGTTTACTTATCTACGGAAATAAACGTACAGGTAATTATCCGCGAGAGTACTATGAAACCGCTTTCCTTTCTTACCTTACTTCGCCTACTGCGAACGGTAACGAACGGACGAACGAAAACCACGAGTCTGCTTGTAAACAATTCGTATTCCAGCTTATAGCATAGCGGCTGTATTTACAACGGTAGAATTACAAACGATGATCGTATATCGATTATCGATTCTATCTCGTCGGAGATACATCTCGTTATCCGTTGTGTGGAAACTCGTAGATCCGTTCTAAGTTCTTTTCGTCGAAATCATGCCCGTTTATATCCCTATGCATCTCTCTTAAAATAGATCTCTGTTTAAAACTGACCACAACCATTTAAGAATCCTCGATCCTTCGCTGCGTCGTTCTAGAAACCAGGCGATCGTCCAGGTGTCGTGTCGAGAACCGACCGGCGAATCCGTGAAAATTAACATTCCAATAAAAAAAAAAAGCGCCATAGCGAAATACGCGACATGTAACAGTATGTAGGCATGTACAGAGTTTACGTTAAATCGACCTAGGAAGGTGAAGGAAAGAGAGCGAAGGAGAGCCAACGAACAACAGGTTGGCGCGTCGAACGCGTGCGGTGGGAAGACGGGAGAACGAGAAGAGCTACGTGGAGACGGAGAAGCGGAAAACGGGAAAGCGATCGTCGTTGGATTTGGTAGGAATATCCGTAGAAGCGAAACGCTTAGCGCTATGTAAGAGCGACGACGTCGTGACAGGGAGACCGGATTGGTCGGTCACCTGTTGCCTGCCTGCTGTGATTGGTCGGGCTCGACAGCGCGTAACGACGGCCAGAGGAGGACAAGTGCACCGTCGGCTGGTCTATGATGGACCAACATCGAAAATGGACAAAGTCGTATACGTGTAAACCTTTGTCCTTGCTCGCGAACAAATCAACTACGTTGTTATTACCACACACCTTTTTGCTATTCGCCATTCACGTAAATTCGTTCTTACGTTCGATACGTACGTTTTACGTGCTCGTATATCGCAGCGGACATTATTGCTTTGACGTTTATTTACGAGCTTAGTCTTTCGCTGCATTCTACCATATAAATATTTATCGGCGTTACCTTCGAATTATTTACGTTTCTCGAATAAAGGTAAAGTTTAAGTACCTATGCGGTAGTACGACAGATAAAGAAAAGATATATGTACATACATATACGTACGTATATCTAATGCGACAGCGGGTCTAATATTTGCGATACGACTATCGTGAAACACAAAATTACAAATCGACGTTGCGCATACGACGGCACGTATGGGACGGAACAGCAGGGACGAAATCCTTGTACACGCGGCGGAACAGGTGTACAAAGTTCGCGCGAACAGGCGATGGGAATCGCGCGAGACCAAAGTCTACGCTCGAGGAGCAAAGTCTGCGCGGACGATGGAAGGAAAGCCGGTTCGCGATATCGGACTCTGAACTTTTCGCGTTACATTCGTTACATTACTTCCACGTTGGCGAGTGTTACGCTGTTCGAGAATAGACGCGAATATTAAACGTCCCGCGTATATTCCTAATACGTAGCGTTCTCCGACGATTCTCTTTGATACCCGAAAGAGGCGAGGATCGAGCGAATGAACGTTCGCGAAGATCTCTACGAGCCTCGTTATTCTCTTAGTCGATGAATTAGACACGACAAAAGGCGGTTGATTCGTTTATCGAGCCTTCGACGATCGCTCGTAAACGAGGCAGAAGCGCGAGAGGGCGATACGAAAAAGAAAAGTTGCTCGAGTTAGGGACACCTGCCGAACAACACCTGCTGCTTCCTAAAGCGCGTTTCAGTCTTCTCCGGGCAAAATTACGATTATTCGTTACGATAACGTTGCGATGCGAAAGTTAGCTCGAAAGAGAAAACCTGTATTAAAAGAACAAATTCTGCTTACAAATCAATATAATTATAAATATATTACGACAGGGTCACCGTATAGCTTAACCTAGTGACGTTCGCCAGCGTGAAATTAATCTACCGCTCCGATGCGTATCGTATCTCGTTTCACTAATAACTTTGATATTTTGCTATTTCGTCGAATTGACAGGCCAATGGGAGGGACCGACAACGATCGATAAAAGTACAGCGAGGAGCCGCGAAACGTAAAATAAAATCTGACACGCGATTCGAAAACACTCGGAAATTTCTTACTGGACCGAAACGACATCGGTCGATCCTTCCTTTTTCTCGAATCGTCTCGAGATATTACGTCGCAACAGCTAGGCTGCCTATACCTCGCAGGATGAAACAATTCGTTTTGGATGCTCTTTCACGAGAGAGAGAGAGAGAGAGAGGAGGGGGAGAGAGAGAGAGGAGGGAGAGAGAGAGGGAGAGAGAGAGAGAAAAGGAAGGGGAGCGGATTCACCGTTGCACAGAACTTTCTCCCCGGCAAGGATTATACTCGTGCCTTTCGTAGCTGTACGTAACTTTCAAACCATCGCAAATCACGATGCCTCTTCCGCGATGAATCGCGTTCCTCGTATTATATTTAAATCGCGCAACGTCGTTCGAATCCAACGAAGAATAGACGTCGAAGATGCGTTCCGAACGATAAGTCATTTAAGATTCTTTCGACCGATCGAACGAAGGATAAAATGAAATTTCTAATACGGAAAGACAGCCATGAAAGAAGAGTGGTATCGCGATAGAGGAAAAGGACACGAGAGGAAGGTGAGAGAGAAGAAGACAGAACTGGTCGCTGACCCGCTCGGAACGTTGACTCCATGTAGTCAGTCCCCTCTTTATATTTTCTTCCATCCCACTTGCACCATCTTACCCTACCTTCGATTATAGCCACAAGTTACCTTACTTTACTTTGCGTTACTTTACCATGTCCGCCTTTCTTTATTCGCGGTTACGATCGCTATATTCTCGGACTTAGCGTCTTACCGATAACTCTCTTGCCTCTACTTCTCTTCGTTTCTCTTCCCGTTTGGCCGATTCTTTTCCATTTGTCTCCGCTCTATGTATTCTTCCTCCGTCTTCTTTCCTTCAAATATATTCCATCCGATATATAACGTAGATACGAGATAGAATTAATCTCAAGAAAATTTCCATTTATTTTGCTCTATTTGTTGAAAATTAAGCAGCCAGCTATAAAGTAACTGTAAAACCTTATTCTCTCATTTATCCTATTTTATTTCATCTCTTATTTATATAGACTGCAAGTTATTACGTACGTAGATACGCGATAGTTAAGTATTTAGATATCTAATACCGTAGATTAGTATTATATTTACCAACGATACATGTCATCGGCGTTGAACAAGTGCCGTTAGGATTATCGTCCTTGCGTAAGCTTTCTAAATAAGATGCAAGCCTTTTATGGTAACGGTATATGCTTATCTCCCATTTCTCGGCAATTAGAAAATAAGTGAATTTCTAAATCATCGAAAGTCAAATATAACGGTCGTCTGATCGTCATTGTCCGTGGTATAGCTTTAGTATTGTCAGTGGTTTCGTAAAAATTTATCCCAACCCAAATTTATATCGATCCTTCGTCCTACAAATTATAAGACGAGACATTACCGCCTAAGTAATCTGTTGATATTTCTAAGGCCAAGATGTCTTGCGCGCGTAATTATTTTCGCTTATCGATGAGCTAACGAGATTCGTGAAAATATTTATTTCGGGAAACGAATAAAAACAACCAGTTAATAAATAGCTTGATACAGGTTAAGTGGTATAACCATAAATAACGGTAATAAAGAATAATTTACTAGCGCAACAAAGCAAATACATATTTTCGTTTAACGAGTTCTCATTTACGCTTATACACATAAATGTATTTTCCATAATTCGATTGTGGAAAATGCGCATAAAAAATTTGCGACCTCAATCGATAATGTTTCAAAAATCGGCGTATTTTCGGTACAATATGATCAAACGATATTACATAATCAGGAATTGTAGTATTTTTGTTACTGCTATAATTTTCATCGAGCCACTGCATTGGATTTGCAAAAAACGTGTCGGCTTCGTCCATATAGCTTATGTTATTGGTAAAATTAGGTTCGCAAGTTAGTATTTTGGTAGATACGTTCGTATGTAAATGACTGTATAAAGGAGTAGCGTGACAAGGAGTGAGAAACAATATGTTGCTATTATCGGTGTTAACAACTTCCTTATGAAGCAGATTCATTAGATCCAACGATCCACGTTGATGTACTAAACCAAAGTAGAGGCCAGGTAACACGTTGGTTAGTACTAATAGCCCCACAAAAATATTTCTTGCTGTTTTTATAAACTTCACGTTCAAAGAGAATGTACACGAGGTACATACGTATATGCACATTGGTAAAAGAGGTAATAAAAATCGAAATTCTTTATGGGCCAACAAAGAATAGATACCAAATGTCCAAACTATAACGACTAACATAACTGCTTGACGGTGAAAACTGGATGGATGTTTCGTTACTTGAAAAATACATAATAGAAATAAAACATAATGGCACCCTAAAAGTACCGGTAATCCACACACCATATACCATAATATATGTTGAGTTCCATATAAATCACCAACCTTATAAAGTACGTTTACACGAAAGAATTCCCAAGGAGAAAAAGTTAACGTACCGTAATAGTAACTATCCAATAATATCGAACTGAAACAACAGATAATACATATTACACTGTATCGACTTATTAGCGTCAACTTGTTTTCTAAACTTGTACATAAATGATAAAGACATAAAGGCAACCATATAATAACAGCGGTTGGTCTGATCATACATAAAAACCCTACGATCCAGAAATAGTTTATGCTTCTAATATTACTGTCACGCCATGGAAATATCGATAAAGCTATCATGGTGAATGCAGTTTCTAAGGTATTAATCAATGTACGAGTGGCGCAATAATACCAGTACCAGTTTATGCATAAACTATACAGTGCCCATTTATTCTTGGACCACTCGTAGAATTTGTATTCTCCGTAAGCACTGATCGTTGCTTGAAGTACTCGAGGTACCGTTGTTAATATTGTTACATAATCCAATGATATCGACGCTAACGCTTGATATATAACGGATAACAAAAATGGATATATGTAACTGCGAATTTTCATGTCCCACTCCCACGTAACATATCCATATCCAAATGCTAAACGATGAGCAACTTCTAATGATTGCCAATATTCATCCGGTACATGCGCGGTTTGAACCACGAAGACAGAAATTAACCTCCATACTACCAAATAAGACAACACTCTTGTTTTCTTCGATATATGCATCTCTTATGTTTTGAAATAGCTCGTTAAATATAAGAATGCCTTTGAATATTGCGCAAAACGTATAACATACCTTAAATAACACCTATAAAAGTACAAAAGAATGATATGTGATAAAAGTCAGATTTTAGGTTAGTTCTTTAAGGACGATTGATTATTTCATTAGAAGTTATTACATCGTATCCACTTGCGTTTTCACAAAAGTCCTTCTGCTCTTATTCATATCGTTAATAACAATGTTATAAAAATTACATTTACAACGATACAATATACGAGTGTTTGCTGTACCGTAACAGGAGGAAATTATTGTCGTTACCTTCGTTTGAAAAATGACAAATTTGCTAATAGCAAACGTATTGTATACAATTATCGATGATTAATTTTATATTTAAATAACAAAATTGTCGTTTATCTGCTGTTTTGAAGTATGTTTCACCATTAATTCGAAGAACGAAAATACGAAATAGTATCCACTAATCGATGCAGATGGCATTTCGTTGACTCCATGTTGTTTCATGAAATCGATTAGTTGAGAGGTCTACGTAGCGATATTTCTTTGAGCAAATGAACTAAAGTCGATAGCATCGTTACGAGAGGTGGTCGATAACCGATCGTGCATCGTTCTTTTCGAAACGAGAAATTGAAGTTCGATATCTGTAAAATAATTCGTCAAACTGCTGCTTTGAGATATCGGAGTATTCGCGGTAAATTTGTTATTCCTTCATAACCATGTTAAAGGGGTGATACGTGAAAAGGATTATGCATCTTTATAAACAGTTGTATTTTAAATTATGCAACGGAGATCTTCCATTTTGACGAGAAGAAACGCTATGAAATACTACTATTGCGAGAAATATCGTTTATGTATATTTTAATAAGTGGAGAATACGACGTGCCGGTACTTATGTATTTTCGTGTGCAATTATGGAAAGTAAACCGATAACATTGTCTAACAACGGAAAATCAGCGACGACAGATGACTCGAAAAGTGAAATGCAAATGGTACTAGCCAAAATGATGGAAGAAAAGTATACTTATACTTATAAAAAATTAGTAGTACCTATGTCAATGAGAAGTATTTACTGGAAATTTTTCGGATTTCCAGCTACAGACGATGGAGATATTCTCACTAAAGTAAAGATCGTTTGCATATTATGTAAAACTCAAATTGCATATAATCGTAACACCAGTAATTTGCGTATGCATTTACAAAACAAACATGCTCAAGAACTTTTAGAACTAGAAGCTACTAATCCGCCACGCAGACAAGTACTTTCTCAGGAAACAAAAGAGAGAAGGGCACAAAAGAAATTATTAAAAGCAGGTTTAACTTCGGCCCAGCATATTTACACTACCAATGCGGATGGTACTGTCCAAATAGATGGGGATATTCAATTCGTGACTGATCCAAATGTAAGTTTATCCAACATCGAGGACGATATAGCAATTGGTCAACCTTTGCGAGTTATGATTAAGAGTGGTTCTAACATTGGGAGCAATAGTCAAAATGTGGCTTTTCTTATGCCGGAAGATAATTCTATTAATCAGTCGAGTATCGATGGGAAGACTGTATCAGATGCTATAGCCGAATTTATTATTATGGATTTACAATTGCCAGAAGTGGTAGAAGGACGTGGTTTTCAAAGACTAGTTGCAACGTTGCGCTCACCCTGCGAAATCCCTAGTAAAAATAAATTAGAAGAAGAAATAATACCAAAGATTTATGATACCTTCCGTGAATCAGTAGCCACAACTCTATCTTGTATAACAAGTGAAGTAGGTTTGACTATTGAGGAGTGGAGATCAAATTCTGACGAACGATTTGTTACTGTTTCTGTATATTATCAAAACTCTGGTGAACCAGTGTTAGAATGTAAAGTGTTAAGTACTATTCATGCTCCTTTAGATTGGGAGGAATCTCAGTGGGGTAACGCGATAGATTCTTTGTTGCTTGATTGGGATCTGAAAATAGAAAGGATAACTGCGGTAGTAGTAGCCACATCCAGGACAGAATTGTTGAATGCTTTAACGAATCGAGGATTAACATTAGTTCCTTGTTTACTTTATACTTTACAAGTGTGTGCTCAAGCTTGTTTTGAAAGCCCAGAAGTTGCTACCATACTAGCAAAATGTAGGGCAGCCATTGGAGCTATTATAAGTCATCCGGCTGCGTCTGCGGCGTTAACTATGCAGGAACAATTATTGGAAGTAAGTAAAAGGATGTTATATCGTAAATATGTCATTTATAAAATATATAATGAGTTATTGCTTTATAATGTATTTGATACAATTGTAGTTGGATGAAAATGCTATGTTAATGGATTATCCACCTATATGGACATCGACGTACAACATGCTGGAGCAAATGGTTCTTCGTCGTAATATTGTAACGTCAATTTTAGAAAGCATGGAAGGTATTGATCAAGAGGTAGTTGATCTGACAAATGATCAATGGAAGATCGTAGAGGATCTTGTAAATGTGCTTGAACCATTTAAAGTTACTATTATGACGCTTAGCGAGGAAAAAATACCGTTGATATCTTTATTAAAACCACTGCTCTGGCAGCTTGTATCTTCTCATCTTAAAATAAAAGAAAGCGATAGTGAAAAAGCAAAGGCTTTCAAAGAATCTTTATCTGATATGCTTTGCGACAGATATGCAGATTATAACGTTACTCTTTTACTTCAAATTGCAACTACCCTGGATCCAAGGTAATTATACGTTATTATTCAGATAATTTTTCTCTAGTCTAAATTTTGAAAACCACAATTAATGTTATATGATATATTAGGTTTAAGCAATTACCATATGCTACTGAAGAAGATAAAAATTCAGTAGCGACTGATATAAAAGAAATGTTGACAAAACTAATACAAGAAGAATCTGGAGATAATATAAATATGAAAGTTGAAGAAGAGCCTCTGACTAAAAAAAGTCGTGTATCAGGTAAATGTTTCGACCTATATAATGACATTAATCTTTAAAATCATTGGAAAAGGAAATACATTTTAATTGTATTCAGGTATGGAATTCTTGCTTGGAGGATTATGTTCGATGAAAAGTGGAATGCCTGCAGAAGAGAAGGCAGATCTTGAACTTGTACAATATCATTCTGAATCTACCGCACCACTTGACTACTGCCCTCTTCAATGGTGGGCAAAGATTTCTGCAAAGTGCCCAAATTTAGGCAAATTGGCTTGTAAATACAATTGCGTACCTGCATGTTGCGCACCACCCTGTAGAATTCCGGCAGAAGTGCAAGTTTTATACGACGCTAGGCGAACGGCCTTACCTCCTCATTTAATAGATAAGTTACTCTTCCTTCATGGTAATCATACCGTATGAAGGAAATATTAAGTTTCACTGAAATATAATGTTGATAGATTCTACATAATTTAAGTTTAAAGTGAGGCTCCTAGGAAAATTTAAATGAAATAATAAACAGAGCTACAAGTCGCTAATTTAAATTAATTTTATTTATACGAGGGTAGATTAAAGAGTTTACAGAATCGCAATAACAATAACATAACAAGCGACAACTTCTAGCGGCGATTTCTCAAATTTTTCAATCTCGCCTTGTATTATGATATATATTTCATTTTTATTTTTATTGAACTATTAGAATCCTATAATATTCTAAAAGTCAAATTTAAAATTCGTGGATCTATAGACATATTTGTTAAACGTTTTACAAAAAAGAAATACATTTATTTTCAATAAAATCTGACAAACTTCATATTTTGAAATTGCCATCTTGTATTTCAAGTGTAAAAATATTTTGAATGAGAACATTGGAGTGTCATTACGATTTAATGAAATCTGTGTTTTTTTTTTTACGCAAATAAGCCTACCGTAATAGGGCATTATTAATTCTAGAAAAGATTTGGCTATCGAAACAATTTTATACAAGATTGAAAAATTGAGAGATAACAAAAGTTAAGTAAGTCTCATTTATAGAAATTGATAAGAGATAATAGTTTTCCATTTGCAACAGGTACGATGTATTAATCTTTATAAAAATTCTTAAATGTTATAAAGCATTGAAAATAAAATTTTGATGCTGTAAATATTGCATAAAGATACGAAATTAAATTTTTTGTATTTTTTACAAAGAAAAACTGTTATTACTTAACTTAACATTGAGATGCATGCGTGAAGTGATTAATAAATAATTTATAATGAATTTACTTTTGTATATTAAAGATGTTATGCTAAGTTATATTGCAAATTTTCTGAAATTTTATAACAATTCTCTTTGCAATTTCTTTCTATTAATAATAATAATAATGATGGGAATGATCATCTTAACGAATTAATAAATCATTTGATCATTTTCAGCTCTTACCTTTGTCATTAATAGATGAGAATTTCAAAAGATGTATTCTTGTGATATTAATTTATATTTTAGAAATACTAATGTAGTACAAACTTAACATTTTATATTATGAGTAATATCTATATTATTAGTACATTTTGTATGTTTATTTGTTTAATGACTTATGAATTATAATTTAGTGTTTAAATGTATGTAATATAGTATTGTATAATATGAGTTATATACATGTATGCTTCGTAAAATGTATAAAATTTTACATTTTATTTTTGTAAAATGTCAAAATAATTGTAAAAAGTACTTTATTAATACTTTTTATACTGTATATAAAATGAATTAGTCTTAAAAATACTTTTAAAAATTGATTGCTATTGTATATTACATTTGTAGCAGATATACTATAGCAGACATAAATATTTTTGAAAAACTCAAATTAGGGTAAAGGGAAATTGTAATATTATTCCACTTCAATTTTGTTTTAGCAATAACTATATTTCGTTGTAGATAAAGTAAAAATATTTACAAGAATTGTAGGACATCTTTTTTTTGCTATTATACATTTCTTCTGCTTATCACAGGTGAAAAGCTTTTGTTAGTTTCTTTTGTAACATAAATATTATGACAGGCTGAACTGGCTTTGAATCCACGTTGAACTTTCATAGAATCTTGGATCTGCGATTCTAAGAGATGCCCTTTTATAGAAATAATAGTGTAAAACTGCAACTAAACGTGAAATAATTGTAATAATACTATGTACATAAACTTGATTGAAAAGATGTTACCTCCTCTATGTAATGAGTAAAAAACATGAAAATCTTTAGTCCAATAGTATTTGAGAGGTGATGACCAGTGCACTTTAATGTCCCATGTATGTAAACTAATGCTTAATACCATATATATGATACACAATATTAGTGTTACACGAAATTTTGTATATAATAATTGTATTAATCCTATCTGCATGAAAAACATACATTTTTTGCAATATTATTTAAAATATTAGTTTAACTACTTTTAGTGATATTTACCTGAAAAATGTAAGTGGAAAAGAAGTTAACTAGTAAAAGTGTAATAGTCATAATAAGACAAATATCTTGAGCCCTTAAAAACAAAAATTAAATACAATTCAATTGTGTATACTTATTTATCATTTTAAAGATAAAAGCATCACGTACACGTAGAGAATTAATAAATTAATTGGATTCGCTCGGGAGAAAGTAGCAAACGAATTAACAAAAATATCAAAGAATAGTACTAAATATTGTATGATTATAGTGACTAGATATCTCTTAGTATTTATTGTACTCATTTATTACAGAAAAATAATTCACTAATGTACAATAATTCATGAAATCACAATTCTGCATATGACCATATTGTTAGATTCTATAGGTTGCTATGACAACACAAAATAGTACGTAAACGTAAACAATACTGTCTCGCTAAGTGACCGGAATTGTACCTTACCATTTGGCCGTTGTTATCCCCACTATATCTCTCTGTTTTAACTGTATACATATTACTACTATATTACATTACCGATCTCAGCAGTACGCATGCATTTTGGGTTGATTGTGGAACAGAATGGAGTATCACTGTCTTACTATATCTCTCAATTCACTGTACATTCGTTTTATAAAATTCCTGGCACAGATGTTACCTTGTTAGTTGACCAGATTTAATTTGGACCAGCGGCCAATTTACGAGGCAATATTGTATATATTGCACCCAAAAATGATTCATAACGTCTGGCGTAAAATACATCTTTTAGATTTTGTTAAATCTCTTATGAATGTTTACCTCAGGCAGTGTTATAAAATTTGTATCAATTGGATTTAAACTGTATGAATTAAATGGAAACTCGTGACGTATCAACTGATTAAAAAAAATTACATGTAATTGTGTTCAACATAACGTATCAAATTGTGTTTACATATTGATCAAAATAGATAAATACGTGTTTCGTGTTGCAGGTAATCAGTGAGATAAAAGTAACATTTAATAGAAATTCTGTGAAACAAATAAACGAATGCTCGAGGACAAAAGTATTTGTATACTAAGGTTATATTTTTAACATGAAAATATGTCATGACTGACAAATTAATTACAGTCAATAATTCTTAATATTTGAATTTGAATTATGTTACTGGAGATTATTTGACAATAATTAAATATGGATCCTCAGACTAGTAAACATTTGCATACAAGACAAATTATTGGCATTTTTCCTATATTGGAATTAAATGTCGATGATGTAGATGTTCCTTTAGAAAATCCAACTACAACTTACTTAGATATCTTTTTCCTTGTGTCTTCAATCCTTATGCACATCGTGGATGTGGCAATTGATATCAATCTTGCTGTAAGATATTTATTAGCCAAAAAAATAACATACTTTATATGGACAACTGTTTTTATTCTTTTACCTTCATTTATAAATGTTATAATCAGTAGAAGAATGCAACAACAAGATGACAAGGTGACAAGTTATATTAAGTAGTAACATTGCCAATTAAATTTATAATTCAAATCAATCTTTATTTTAGATAAATGAAACGTCAAATCCTTCCAAATTTAAATGTGTACATGCAATGTTAACAAAGAAATTATGTTGCCTTGTACTTGTAGCATTTCAATTAGCACCAGTATTACGTTATTACAGAACTTTGAAATATGCTCTTTATGCGTACAAGTTTGAAAAACAAGGCAATCGTAATGCTCAAAGACGATATTACCTCAAAATGCTGGGAGAAGATCAAGATGTTGCATTATTAAGAGTATCTGAATGTTTCCTTGAAGCTGCACCTCAACAAATTTTACAGTTAACTATATTGTTAAAACATTACCACAATGATATTAACTTTGAATGTAGATATACTTTTATATCGCTAATTTTGTAATTTTAATTAACAATATAAAATTGATATTCATGTTAATTGTAGTTATTCATCAGGTAGCTAGTATTGTTAGCTCCCTTGTAAGTATGGGATGGGCAATGGCTAGTTACCACCGTAGTATTAGATTGGCTCAACAAGATAAACTAAATATCGGTATTACAGGAACTATTCTTCAATTTTTATGGCATTTTTGTACTACAGGTATGTACATTGTCATTATATAAAAAAGTTCATACCTTCATTTGTTAACATTTTTCAGTTTCAAGGATATTGTCACTTAGCGTTGTGGCAAGTATGTGGCCATTATACACGGCCATTGGATGTATTTTTCATTGGATTTGTATGACTATTTGGATTATCATTGATTCTCGTGGTATATTAGAATTTTGTAGAAATTCTAATCATGCTCCACATTGTTCTCCAAAAATCAAAGAACGCATTTATTCTGTATTATTTTCTATAGTGATTGGTGTAATACATGTATTCATATATCTGAATACAGTGGACGGTAGTACATTTCTTAAACATGTATTCTTTTATATAATTTGTTTTGTTGAAAATATAACAGCAACTGCATTTTGGATATACGCTTCATCGGATGAAGTTAAAAATTCTTGGTACTTTAATTTACTCATTGTTCTTTGTATTGTACCGTTCTTATTAGGTATAACAGCTATGACCGTTTATTATGGCGTTTTTCATCCTTCTTTGAAACATCAGAATTGTGCGAATACACGAGTCTAGATCATTTTTATTCATATTTAATCTATATATGTATTACAAAAGAATTGTACAAATACGTCGTTCTTACTAACAATCATTTATTTTTATCAATCATATTTTTTATATTTTTATAAATCTATTTGTACCTGGTATAAATTTCAAAGCTGAAGAAATTATCTGAGTAAATAATTTTGATATTACATCTAGTATATCGTTCATACAATTTTTATTGTATTCTCTACAATTATGTGTGTGTGTGTGTGTGTGTATCGTATAACGAATTTTATATATAAGTACTTAAAATTCGCAAATATATAAAAATAAAATGACAAGCTCAAAAATTATAACAATATTAGTTTAAGTATTTAGTTAAGTTTTTTGTCATGTGTACACTCTATGTATTTTATACGCTTTTATAATAAATAAAATCAACAATTTCTCTGCCTTAAATATTTATGTATTATAAATCTTTTTATATCAGATATTAATTAAAATTTTACACACATGTACACGTACATAGAAAAATGCAAAATATACTTAAAAGCACTCTTGAATATACAATGGTGAAACTATTTCTTAAGCGAATATAAAAATTTATCAAATTTTCAAGTAACTCAAATTTATTTGAAACAACAGCATAAAGTGTTAATCACATAACGCAAATGTTTTTAATCATATTATCTCTTATGTTAATAAATAATAATTTAATTATAAGATTTTCTGCTTACATGGGTGATTTAATTATGTTTAAGTCTAATTGTTCCGCAGTGCTTGTAACTTCGATACTTGATAATGGCATTACAAAACACATTTTCTACCATTAATTTATAAATAAAAAATTATCTTGTCCTTGACATTAGTATTATAAAGATGGCATTATATAAAATAAAATGTGCTATATAAAATAATTCATTAACAATTAGCAAAGCATATATCTTACATATTAGTATTTCTTCTGGTTATCAATCAACTGGATTCTGTATTACTATAAGTATAAATTCTTTATCCGGAGCCACCATAATTTCATGTTTCTTACTACGAATGCGGAGGAAAGTAAGGTCATTGGTTGGATCCAAATCTCTTACTACAGATCGTGCTTTGTCTGACAGTTGGCTTATTAATCCTGCGTATTGAACTGTCGTAGTGTTATCCAACGTAGATTTAATTGGGATACCTAGATAAGTAAGTTTTTGTTAAGTTTAGTATAATAATTATGTATGGTGTCCATATTAACACACGACACACAGTATACCTTCTGCATTAACTACGATTGTTCCAACCACTCCCTTATGCGATTGAATACGTTTCATAGTTTCTTCTACCTCTTGTGCCTTAGGAAAGATGTGTTATTCTAAAGTATGCGAAGTAACATAATTAGGAGGATATAACTTGTCATAAACCTACCATCTCTTAAACGTATCAATTTATACTATGTGTAATATAGTGTTAATTATAAAATTCGTAATAATAAGTTGTAACGAATTTGGTATTGACAAAACGTCACTTGGATCGTACCGCCCACGATCGTGTATACGACCATGGTACGTTTTCAATGAGATTGTGGCTGCGCGATCACTTTTTGTATCGACCATCAGGTGGTGAAATGATCATCCAATAAGAGTTGCCCACCGAAAGGCATCTCAGCCAATCGTATTCTAATTACTTAAATTTTTAATTTAATTTCGAACTTTCTTTTCTTCGTATATGTATATTTTCTTTGTAAATGATTCTTTAAACTCGAAAGTACTATCGAATTCGTAATATTTGTAATTTCTCTTGTAATTCTTCTAGTTTATTTGCTTATGAAATAAATTATTTGTTACTTGCTATTATCGAACCGAAAGTTGCCAATAATTATATCTCTCCATTTATTCGAAAAAAAATAGAAAATGAATAGTTAACGTGGATAGAATAGCCATGATTTAACGAGTCGATCGCAGCGCTACGACTAGCGGTTGACTTGCATAGTACACGTTACGGCAACCTCGCTCTCCACCACGGGAGTTGCCAGACCTGTATATACGACCGTGATACAACGCCATGGTTTAAGGCGGGGCAAACAGCGGAAACTCTAAAGTCATATGATCATATGATCGATTTGCGATTCCTTTAGAACACAGACGTCTCTGTTCGTTGCAAAAATGGCCAGTCAGACGCAAGGTATTCAACAGCTTCTGGCAGCCGAGAAAAGAGCAGCAGAGAAAGTCGCAGAAGCTAGAAAACGTGAGTTTCCATTCGAACATTATAAGCTATGTTTCAACACGGATATATTTAAAATCTAACCCGCTGTAATCAATCCTTTTGCGTCCCTTACTTTAAACTGGTATAACTTTTTAAATGCTTAAAAATAATTATTAGTTTAATAATTACGAGTAGCTCCGAATGTAAATATAAATTTGACAAATACGTATAGCTGTTGCTTATTTGGTATTCTTTGATAAAAATTATCTAACCTTTGTCGATATAGCAGGTTATTCGTAGAGACACTTTTCAAAGTTCTTCTAGTTTTTAAATAAAGATCTTAATATTAGGATTAACAAAGTACGAATTGTAAAATGACTTTGTTTTTAGGTAAGGCGCGTAGACTGAAGCAAGCGAAGGAAGAGGCTCAAGATGAAATCGAGAAGTATAGACAAGAACGAGAAAAGCAGTTTCGTGAATTTGAAGCAAAGGTGACTAACTTTAGATACACGGATAATTTCTGTTCCATTTTGATTAAATATATATTATACCGTACTACGAAGAAGTAAGAACGCTTTGATACATTATATACGACATATTTCTGTTATATATAGCATATGGGTTCGAAAGAAGACGTAGCAGCACGTATAGAAGCCGATACAAAAATAAAAACAGAAGAAATGAATCAAACTGTATCTATGCATAAAGAGAGCGTAAGTTAATATAAAACATATATAGAAGAAGTAACGATATTTTTCGTGTTTTACGCAACATTTTTAGTATTTGTACTTTTTATTATACAGGTCGTGCATACAATCTTGGGCTTGGTCTACAACATTAAACCGGAATTGCACAAGAATTATCGCTTAGAAATTTAAGTGAGAAAAATCGTATCGATTAAATATAAATATTGCATCTTACGCTATAAATGTACATTAAATATTTCCTTTTTATCATAATTTGAAACGTACCTATTGTCGTTGCGTTGTACTTCTATCTATCTAAATGTATATATCTTTTAATCGTAGATGGCGATATATATTCAAATTACTAGAACTCTTTCTGCAGTTGCTATACGACAATAAATGTAATCGTACCTATGCTGAGCTTTTACCACTGTATTGGAAAGTTTAAGGATTATAATAGTGGTGTCACAGTAGCGCTATAGACATATTAAACAAGTTATCGTCATTGTGATATATCAAGGCCTAGATATATTAGGATGACGCGTAAATGTTAAAGCTTAGGGTGGTGGAAAAATATTGTACGCTGTTAAGCGTATATCGTTAGATGTCATTCCATGATTCTGCTACATCGAGGACAAAATGCACGTTAGAATATTCTGTACAACTTCCAAAGAATCACTGATAAGCTCCTAATCCGATGTGATTCTCACGACGATGTACATATACATACTATTTGTTTTGTTTGAAAAATTTAAGATTTGTTAAGTTATAGGAGAAAAAGAAGAAGTTATATCTCATGTGTAAACCCTGTCTCTGTATGCTGATTCATCTGTACAGTATTAATGTTCGAAAATAAAAGCGATGAAAATGTAACTCGTGCTTAAGCTCCTTCATCATCTACCGAATGATAAAGTTTCATGTAGAAACGAAAATTTCGTTATCGCTCAATTTTCTAAGCATAACTATGTAATCTGCATAGTTATTATGTAAAACATGTTTTACATTTATAGTATTTGTAATGCTCGATTTTATCGAATTTTGTACATGTTTTATATCGAAATTATTATATAATCGAAACAATTATCGAAATTTGTACATGTTTTATATCGTACGATAGATCAGATATAGATATAACTAATTATAACAAGAGAAAGGGTTAAATAAGAAAATACTTGATCGCGAGACTCGCATCTTGAAAGAAATTTGTACGTACGTCGTAAAGCAAGATCGAAAGTTAAAAAATATGCGCGGACCAAGTTTTCGCGTTTGTCGATATATCGGGCGCAGACTCGGGTCGAATAAAAAACTCAATTGCGACGTAATTGGATATTTGTGTTTACGTTTATCAGAATTGGTTAGACATTTAGGTGAATAAGAAAATACCGAGTGGGAGTAGAGAGGAGAGGAGAGGTGGATGAGTGGGGAATCAGCGTGGAATCAGCTGTATAAACCTAACCTTCCCCTTTCATCGTAGGACGTAGGAGATGGTAGTCTCAGACAGCAGTTGGTTGGGCGCGCGTAGTGCGTGTGTGTAGTGTCCGTTGACAACACTAGCGCCAGTCTATAGACATCGAGAGGTGATTCGATTTTGTGAACTAATGCTGGCAGCGTGAAGCGGTCAGTACGTGTGCCATTCTGCACCGAGAAATGGAAACCAACGAGACTCGTTCGAGTAATACGAGCGCGAACACGTTGCCGATGTTCGAAGTGTGTAAAGATGCAGTGACAGCTGTGCACGTTTACGCGTTTTAAATCTGTTATGATTGAGAAGATGACGAGTAAAGCCGGACGCCGACCAGCTGCGAGTCCGAGGAAGAGATTGTTGTAATCGTCGCCGTCGCCGTCGTCGTCGTCGTCGCCGTCGTCGTCGTCGCCGTCGTCG